TGATGCCGTTGCATTCCTCACCGGAGACCCTGCGCACGGACGGGAACGGCTCCAGCGACCATCTGGGCGTCGGGACCACCCTGAGGTGGCACCCAGGGGATTGGGACCACCCTGAGGTGGCACCAAGGGGGTTGGGACCACCCTGAGGTGGCACCCAGGGGATTGGGAACACCCTGAGGTGGATTTGGGACCACCCTGAGGTGGCACCAAGGGGGGCTGGAATCACCCTGAGGTGGCACCCAGGGGCTGGGACCACCCTGAGGTGGCACCCAGGGGGTGGGACCACACTGAGGTGGCACCAAGGGGGGTTGGGACCATCCTGAGGTGGCACCCAAGGGATTGGGAACACCCTGAGGTGGCACCCAGGGGACTGGGACCACCCTGAGGTGGCACCCAGGGGGTGGGAACACCCTGAGGTGGATTTGGGAACACCCTGAGGTGGCACCCAGGGGGTTGGGACCACCCTGAGGTGGATTTGGGACCACCCTGAGGTGGCACCCAGGAGTTTGGGAACACCCTGAGGTGGCACCCAGGGGGTTGGGACCACCCTGAGGTGGATTTCGGACCACCCTGAGGTGGCACCCACGGGGCTGGGATCACCCTGAGGTGGCACCCAAGGGATTGGGACCACCCTGAGGTGGCACCAAGGGGGTCGGGATCACCCTGAGGGACCTGAGGTGGGTTTGGGCAGCTGGGACTGAAATTTGGGAAAAAAGGGACAGAAATTTGGGGAAGAATAGGCAGAAATTTGGAAAAAAGGGACAGAAATTGGAAAAAAAGGAACAGGAATTCGGGAAAAGGGGGAAGAAATTTGGGAAAAAGGAGCAGAAATTTGGGAAAAAGGAGCAGAAATTGGGAAAAAAGGGGCAGAAATTGGGAAAAAAGGGGCAGAAGTTTGGGAAATAAGGAGCAGAAATTTGGGAAAAAGGAGCAGAAATTGGGAAAAAAGGGGCAGAAGTTTGGGAAAAAAGGGGCAGAAGTTTGGGAAAAGGGGAGGAACTGGAAAAAAAGGAACAGGAATTTGGGAAAAGGGGGCAGAAATTTGGGAAAAAAGGGGCAGAAATTGGGAAAAAAGGGGCAGAAGTTTGGGAAAAAAGAGGCAGAAATTTGGAAAAAAGGGGCAGAAATTTGGGAAAAAAGGGGCAGAAGTTTGGGAAAAAAGGGGACAGAAATTTAGGAAAAAAGACAGAAATTTGGGAAAAAAGGGGCAGGAATTTGGGGAAAAGGGGCAGGAATTTGGGACAAAGGGGCAGGAATTTGGGAAAAGGGGCAGAATTTGGGACAAAGGGGCAGGAATTTGGGAAAAGGGGCAGGAATTTGGGACAAAGGGACAGGAATTTGGGACAAAGGGGCAGGAATTTGGGAAAAGGGGCAGGAATTTGGGACAAAGGGACAGGAATTTGGGACAAAGGGGCAGGAATTTGGGACAAAGGGGCAGAATTTGGGACAAAGGGGCAGAATTTGGGAAAAGGGGCAGAATTTGGGACAAAGGGACAGAATTTGGGAAAAGGGGCAGGAATTTGGGAAAAGGGACAGGAATTTGGGACAAAGGGACAGAAATTTGGGACAAAGGGACAGGAATTTGGGAAAAGGGACAGGAATTTGGGACAAAGGGGCAGAATTTGGGACAAAGGGACAGGAATTTGGGAAAAGGGGCAGGAATTTGGGAAAAGGGGCAGAATTTGGGAAAAGGGGCAGGAATTTGGGAAAAGGGACAGAAATTTGGGAAAAGGGGCAGAATTTGGGACAAATGGATTTTGGGAGGCTCCCAGCCCGTACCTTGTAGGATACATTGCCATGGAATTTCTGCCCGGAAAACGCCG